TAAAAGCTAAATTTAAAAAAAATGTCATCGAGTAAAATACAACCATCAATTATAAAATTTGAGACCAGAGCAATAATAATTTGATTATTATACGCCGAAACTACGGGGAATGTCAATTTTGAATCACACGAACTGAGTGTGCGCAGCCTTTAAAACATAAATGACCAGTTCTCAGTCTTTTAACCTTTAAAAATCTCAATGTCATTTATAATTAAATAGTGGGAACCAAATTCTGTGACGTATTATCTTATTTAAATGTAATTATCATAATATAATAATGTAATGTATTATCTTATTTAACTGGGTTCCACTTTAAAGAAAGGGTATTTCGGCTACCTAACTGGTCCAATAAGAATTGTAAAATTATTTCAAATATAAGCTCTAAGCTGTTGTAAATACGTCACATAATGCAATGTAAATGCCTAAAGAAATTGAAGCATCTTATGAATTATTCTTCCTATCCGTAAAGCTGCGCATTCAATGTTGACATAACAAATGACTACATATCAGCAACCACTTAAATGTAGTAGCGCTGATTGAATAGCTGTCACAACAACGATCTCTGATTGGTTACAAAAGCGCCTAACGAACGGACCAATGGTAGTCCTCGTTATATCCTTAATTATGCCAACATTTAACGCGCAAACAACATTCTTAATTCAAAAATGTATACTGTATAACTTCATTGTACTTGATGCTTAACTATCCATGACTACTTTAAAAGGCACAAAATGTAATAAATTGTAAACATACATCAATAAAATATAAGGCAGGCAACAATAATAAAACTTTACGTACGCCTTAAAATAAATAACATTATTAGAATTAAAAAAAAAGACAGTAAGTACATCGAAAAAGGTCCTATGTTAAGATCGCGAGATTTCTAAAATCTCAGATGTCTATACTTATACTAGACGACTATAAAAGGGAATGTGATCGATCAATTTATCACTGTAACGTTTATGAGCATTTTCTTAAATCTATTTTGGCCATTATCGCAATAAAAATAAGAGACACATTTCTTTACACTCTTAGGTTATCATCACATTTTTTATTGATAAGGTAACGCATTAAGTCGGTCAAAAAAATCTTCTACATGAAAAGGGAGGAACGAACTGTGGATGCAGCAGAAATGCGAATGTTGAGATGGGTATGTAAAGTGACGACAAAGGATAAGATAAGAATTAAGTACATCAGAGGAAGTATGAAAGTGGCGCCAGTGACGGGAAAGATGAACACTAATAATAGATTAGCGTGGTATGGACCTGTCATGCGGAGAGAAGGATGTCATATGACGAGAAGAATGTTAGATATGAATGTGGAGGGATATAGGAGGAGAGGAAGGGCAAAGAAAAGATGGATGGATTGTGTGGAAGATGACATGGATAAGAAAGGTGTGAGTATGGAAATTATAGAGAGGAGTGGAAGAAATATACATGTTGTGCCGACCCCACCTTGCGTGGGATAAGGACAGGAAGAAAGAGAAGGTATGTAAAAGTTCAATGGCAAAATCATAGTTAAAAGAATGCATTAGCGTCTTCAAATGTCTTAATTGCAAGTTTTTTCAAACTATAATAGCGGCGTAAAGTCTGGAAATAAAATCATATTTAAAAGAAACTCTAATGACTAATTAGTATGTAACGGGCCTGATATCTACAACTATCAGTTTCTTAGGTTCTTAATGTTGAGCGACATCTATCCGCCAAAAAAAAATTTCAGTACCTACGTATGGATATGGTCCACATTTAGTTCACATAATATCAAATGTACTGATTCAACCGCTTTGTAATAAGCTAATAAAAGATAAACTACATCATTACAAAAAATAAAGTCGATAATTTCTTCTCCAAAATGCCACGCGAGTAAGTGGTAAAACTGACAAAAAGTTCCCAAAATCAGGGAAAGATGCCACGTTTCACAAAAAAAATTATTTGTGTCCTAATTACCAGTGCAATAGTCTGTGGTATGTTATTAATTAACTCAAGTTTTTTTTTGTTATGGCTTAACTTCATGCCATTTAACCATACCAGTACACAAAATTATTTCCTCTGAAATTTCGTCACGACACAAACCCATGGCACCATTCAGGTTCTATTAACTCTGTTCAGAACTTCTGTAGTTTATTTTGATATAATAAAACACCGAATATATTTTATTCAATTGAGTAACACATAACCTCCAAAACTTTAAACTGGAATATACTTCATTCCTGACTTCTCAGAATAATAAACCCGAAACAAAATTTGCTCACATATTTTTCATAAACAGACGCATACAAATTGTGTCAACAAAAAATTATATGGGAGTTTGCCATTGTCTTTTAAATGCTATATTTACATTATAATGTACACTAGGCATTTAAGTGATCATAGGAATAATATTGTGATTCTGAATCTCTTTACAGAATATGTACATACATTTGGAAGTACACGGGGCCTTTGAAAACGACAGAGCGAAAAAGATGCTGCTGGTTTCGCTGCACGCGCTAAGTCATTGACATACCGTTTTTTCCGATCGACTCAATCGATTTCGCGTTAATAAATGTGGTGACACCTTTAAGAGAAATTACAATACATCCTGGTTGCCCACATTGACAAAATAGTTTGGGATACACACTATATTCCGTGCAATTTGGGTACAAAATACACATCAAAGAGAATTAAGGAAATGTAGTCCTCTTTTAACCAATGGAAATTAAAACGGATGCTAATAATTTTGGACCCTACCAAAATAAACAAAGTCTTGGTTTGCATGTGGGCAAACAAAATTTAATTCAATTGTTTCACTGTAACTGTTCGAAAATACTAACAATCTACCGTAAAAACAAATGCAAACGAGTCTTATTCATTATCTTTAATCTCATTTCATGCTTATATGTGTTAATATGTCGTACCTCTCCAGACTTAAGGTCGTAATAAGCATAAGGCAAAATTTTCAAGGCAATATATTTTCCATTTTGCGCTTGACGTCTTCAGCTATAGTTTCAATGTCAATAAAGTTTCAATAATTTCGTGTCAATGTCATTCTATTTACGCACTATATAGCGCGTAATGGATTTACGCACTATATAGCGCGTAATGGATACCCATTATCCATTCATCATCCATTAACAAACTGAAAACTTGTTGTTTTTTGCTACTACGAACAATCATCTGAACAGGACAATGTAATATAATGTAATATACAGGACAATGTAATAAACATAACCTATATCAACTGTATAACCCCAGCTTGTACAGGCTGTACTCAATTAGCTTTTTTGATGCTATGATAGGTCTCTTTAATGCACGTCGTCAAAAACACTGGGTCAGAAAATACACGGGATGTCGCCATCCTTCTTTACAGGCGTCCCGCTCGAATAATGGTCACGTTATGTACAAATATACAATAAGTATCCCTTAAGCCGGTCTTAAATTTTTTTTATGTCCAGAAGCGAAACGCGTAACTTCTTTTTCGGTCTTATTGCTTGGACATAAAGCTGTTTTCTGACAGACTCATCTCGATTCCGCGGTAGTAAGTCTGGTGTGTCCCTAATACGACAGTTAGCGAGGAGAGGAACGACATAAGAAATATTAGTTTGTATAAGCTGTATCATTCTACAACGCTGTTCACTTAACTAGGCACCTCGTTGTCGATGACGTCACGGCGTTACACTCTAGCATAACCTATAACTTGCTAATTGCAAGGCATCATGTAGGTAGCGAATTTTTATGGCGGTGTCTGCTTGAGTTTAAACCAATAGCTTAAATTAGAGAAATACAGATAGATATTCGCAATTATAAAGGGAATAGCTTATTTATTCAACTTTTTTTTCTACAGCATCAATCAGCTTATATGTATGAAATGAATATGAAGTTCATTCTGATTTTTTTTTATAATATCAAGTAACGGGGCGGACAATTCGTGCGCCTGATGGTAAGCACACCTGTCCATAGCAGTGCCAGTCAAGCTTTAAATCGCAAAAATCTGAGGCTGCCACTGCCACTGCGCCATAAAAATTAAAATACCTGAGACATAAATAGACAAGTCCCATATGCCTGTAATTTCACCAGCACCCTTACCCTTCAAGCCGGAACGCAGAACGCATTGCTGCTTGGCTGCAGAAATAGGTAAGGTGGCAGTAGTTCCCTGGACGAACTCTTTCACAAGGAGCTCTACTGATACTAAAATTGGTCCTACCGGGAATCTAACACGGGACCAAGAGCTACGGAATTCACTCCGGGGCACTACCCGAACACCCAAGCCAAAATCACTTTAGAAAAGTCATGTAAATTGTGTTTTTATCTATATCTATAGTGATTCAACTGATTTATTAAAAATTTTTTAAAATTTCTCGAATAACTCGAAAACTAGTGAAATCGGGTATAAGAATTCTCGAAACTCGAGAAAAAAGTTTGTCGAGAAATCAGAATCCCTATAACTAACACGTATTAGTAGTTAGTCAGGCGGAAGATATTCCGTCTCTTTCTAACAAATCATTTGCCATTAAAAATGACGTTGAAAGATATTGCCGTCTCTTTCTTACTCCTGATTTCTGAATATTGTTCACTCTTCACTGGGTTCGTAGAATAACAAGGTGACTTACGTTCATTGTTATTCATATGAAAATTTTGTGTTCTCGATTATGGTAAATAATCGTATACATGGTAAATAACGTAATAAAAATTAATATATAAAAAAAATAAACTGCCCGAGATCCGAGAATCGGTTTCTCGGATCTCTCATTCTTTCATATCATTAAGGTCTATTGCGTACTCACTCGCACCTTTTGATACCATCAAAGCTGTGACGACACAGGGGGTCTACTCTCGATCTCCGTTCGACATCCGTCCGAAACAATTACTGTCAAATAAGCAATACCTGACGAAATGAAAAGGCGCATGATGCGAATGAAGCTTCATACTTGATATTTGTCTTTTAATTTTGTCGAATATTACTTATTTGACAGTAATTATTTCGGACGGATATCGAGAGTAAACCCCCAGATTTCAAATGACGCACGGAACTCCTCAATGCCATATTAAGTGAACAGAATCGTAACAAGACGTTAGTAAAACACATAGTAAGCACATATAATATAGAAAAACACGTGTTAGTTCACGTATAACTTTTCCCTATTAGTTGTTATGATGTAACAAGGATTTTCGAAAAATCCCAAAAATGGAATTTCAATTACTGAGATCTAAAAGCCAAATATACTTTGGACGGTTAATTGGGCAGTTAAAATTTGTCTTTTAAACGTGAAGTATGGACTATAGGATTGCGGAACCTATATTATTATACTGTATTAAGCCATACTGTATCCAGTAATTGTGTTCAGATCCAGGCAAAACAGAAAGATGCCTGAATCAAAAGCTTTTCAACGTGAGCCCCCTAGCAGGCAAACTGTTGGCCTTAGCGGGCACATCTCTCGCCTGCGAATGTGCCACGGCAATGCTAAGGCATTGCACCCATTCTTCAGCATTCTTACCATCCTTAGGTTTGAGGATTAAGGTCTGATCTCCTGTGAATATTTCGAAGGCTTTTGGGATGTTCCGCGCTCCTCGCGACACTTTGACTGATCGTATTTGATTGATGTCTATGCTTTCGCCGCCACTCTGTAACACAACAAATGGAAAATTTTAACCTACTTCAAAAATAGGAGGTCCTCAAATCGATTGTATTTTTCTTACTATAATATAGAGAACTCTATTTTGTGAACCGGTTTTGATTATTCTTTTATTGTTGGAAAGAGGGTATCACACTATTGGGCCCATTTAAATTTGATGAAAATATTCCACCTCTAAGGGTGGCAAACTAGGGGATGATTACGGTTTCGCGCACTTTCCGGTAAGCGAATTCAATAAAACTTGACAAACAGGTGTAATTCGTAATAAGGTTTTTTAGTACTCTGTACTCAGACTATCTCTCTTAACGGTACAGATAGGTATGAAAATGTTCTAAATAGCGAATATGATATGACAATATGGTGTTTTAGGCATGTTTTTTTCGATCTTGAGAACACTTAAGATATTTTTGGGGCATTATCCAGTAAACCCAGACCAAAAACCATTTAGAAAAGTTTAAAACCCTCGTCTCATCCAGTTCCCACAGCGCAAACCATCGGTCACTGTGGTCGTTTACATGATACCAAAGAAACTCACCGATCCTTTACAAGATAAATGAGCACCAGACAGAGTAAAGTATCTCGTTCGCCATCTCCTGAACAATCTCCACCGGCCCTTCTTCTCCTTCAGCTGTCCCTCGATGACCGGCTGGCCATCGGCAGCGAGGAACCCAACGGCCCGCTCTGGGTGGTTGCAGAGGAAGCAACCCCACGTGGCTTGAGTCGGTGGAACGGTAACACCGTCGGTCCGAGTCGTGTTCAGTTCGAATACGTCGAAAAATCCTGCAGTTCGCAGCTCGTTCAAGAGCATTTCTTGTTCCTGGTATTAATAAAGACTGTAAGAACGAATTCGATCGATCTCGAATTAAGGAGTCACCGCAGTTATCGACATGAAATGGCATAAGCCGGACAGAAAAATCTATACGTCCATGAATAAGAGCGAAAATGACGTTATACGTTTCGCGTCGGCCATTGACTTACAAATAAATGGACGACGGGTCTAATACAAAAACCACGAAAAAAGTGTCCCAAGTCAACCTATTTAAACGTAGTGACATGTAAAGGAATATGAAAAAGCTAAAACGTTGAATTTAAATTGTAATGTCATCACAGTACTGTCTAATTTTGCTTGCTTCGCTGTCAGTTGAACAAACGAAGACTAAAGCGTGAATGACGCTCTGTATACAATTTTAACGCCCTATAAGTTCGGACACTTTTTAGCGCGAACCCGACGTCCATATAATTGTAAGTCAATGGCGTCGGCGATCCGAGCGGAAGCGATACGCACCACAGAAACACCCTGCGGCGCCGGTTGGAAAAAAAATATTTTTTTGACCGGCTTCAATGCGATTCCGTGTGAATAAATGTGATGAGTCCCTTAAGTAAATTTAAATTCGATTAATAATGTTTTTTTTATTATAAATCTAGTGTTTCAAAAGTCATATTCCGACAGAGAACAGGCGGAAGCTGAAAAATATGCTGAGATTCCTTCATGGCCTTTTAATCTACATACATACTACAGTATTAAAAATGATAGTAGGCCTTTTGTCTTTATATTTATGCAGATATATTTTGTATATAAATATGTGATTAATTCGGATTGAAACTTCGTGAATCTGAAGCGATTATATTGTTAAGTAATTGTAGTCAATGTAAGTGCTGTTAAACTGTTACTTATAAATAAATAAGTAATGCGTTACATGACGTTTCAAGCGTGACGTTTCAGTTGTAAGGCCGCCTTTCACCTTCGATTGTTTCCGCCGAGCCGAACGAGCTACCATGCGTTCTCGGGTTTCTAACCATTGTTGTTCCTGAACCTATCTCGAAGCAGAACGTCGCGCTCGCCCCGATAAAGTTATCGGTACTTTCTTTTCGCAACATAATAATTTTTGGAACATGTCCCGAAAATCTAACAAAGTCGTATAGTCTTTTTTAAGACGGAGTATTTTGCAGATTTGCCAGTTTTCATACAATTTCAAATAGTCATGTAGTAGTTATCGACAGTTTTGTCGATACATTGTGAATGAAGGTAAAGTTTTGCCAAAAATGTTTTAATTGTGAATGTTACGACGTTCCAATGATTACTAATCGCGTTATTACTTTCTTCGTTTCTATTTTGACTGCTGATCTACTATTATCGAAACCAATTTTTATTCACAATGTACATTTTAATACGGACTGTCTCTACTCTATTGACTATTGTGAATTAAAATGAAAAGCTTTAAAATATGTCTCCTCTTTGTATTTTTAATAGACATAGTTCTAAATGTATGTATGTATAATATATATTCAAATGAACCTGTGCCCAGCAGTTGACCGAATAATGGGCCGGTGCTGATTCAAATGATACGAGTTCGTCGATTTATTACATGAGCATAAAGAACATAAGGTCGATATCGATAGAATATTGATTGACTGCAATCACTAGCTGCTTGCAAGCGGGCAACACTTTTGCCCAATGGACTGTCATTTTACTGCATCTTCAAAAAAGACAAAGGCTAGAAGAATACTGAAGAAAACTTACCTTAATACCTGGGAAAGCACTAGTAACAAGCGTGAGAAAAGTTTTATTTTCACACTTGAGCGTGTCCCAACAGTGCTTCAAACTGGCCACAGTGGGATCTCTAGAGGACAAGGCGGAGCCGTGGCGCGCTTGGAGTGCGAGGAACATGAGGTGTATCCACACTCGCGGTGCTCGAGTCCGCATCGAGAATAACGTTCGCGCGTAGAGGCAGTGCGGACCACGGCGACCACACGCGAATTGCAGACGGGCTAGTTTCTTCGAGCGACGCTCTGGGAGCAAAAAGGACAAATAAGTACCGGATCTTCTTATAAGACAATAAGTTGAAATATGCAGGTAAGGTACAATAAAATTTTAACCTTTGGAAAATAAAACTAGGATTCAATTAAATGAATAAAATTAGGTTCCCGCAGCATGGTACCCAAGATGTTGGCAGCGTTCCTCCTTTATCAACTCCCTCCGTGGCAGAATGGTTACCATGCCGGACTGTCACGCAGAGGTCCCAGGTTCGATTCCCGGGCCCCGGCCCGTGTGAAATATTTGTATGACCTACATTTATTTCAATCGTGAGTTTGGGTGTCATTTGTGGTTCTCTATGTGTGTCCATGGCACTCGCGACTCAGGGTTTTCCTAGTCCGGGGCGATGCTGAGTTTGTGCGTTATTATTACTATTATTATTATTATTTGCATGACTATGCTAATGCGTTGGGCAAGGTTTTTTTTTATAACATCAAGTGATGAGACGAACAAGTCGCGCGCCTGATGTAAGTAAAAAAGCTTTAAATCGCAAAGATCTGAGGGGCATTGCCACTGCGCCTGTCACCTTGCGACATAAGTTGACAAGTCCCATGTGCCTGTAATTTCACCAGCTCCCTTACCCTTTAAAACTGGAACGCAGCAATGCTCACATTACTGCTTGGCGGCAGAAATAGGCGAGGTGATAGTACTTCCCTGGACGAACTCTTTCACAAGGAACTCTACTGCTACTAGGTAGCTGCCGGCTCTTGGGTTTCCCAGAAAATGTCTTAATTTTTTGGATATAATTTTGTAGTACTGCTAATGTTATGGACAGGTCAGGCGCACGACTTGTTCGTCCCGTCATTTAGTTATTATAAAAAAAGCTTAACAATAACTTCAATACTTGTCTATTTAGAAAATAATATTATTCTAAATAAAAATATAAATACTGATAGACACCTTACCTTCAATAGTACACTTGGCCGGCGGCGGCAACCTCAACGAAACATGGTCCATATATGCTTTGATTTTATCCAAATGCTTCTCACAGAAATGTTGCACTGTGTCCCTCATCGGGTATGGTTCAAACACACTGATTCTATGATTCGAATTATTATTACCACTTGAACTGTTTATCATGGTCACACTGGTGTTATTTGCACGCCTAGAAGTCACTGTCACTGGACCCAAGACGGACACTGGGTTGGAATTCACGGATATTGGTCCGGAGCCTTGGGTGATGATAGCCGGACCAGTGTTGGCTGTTGAAGTGATGACTGAGACGTGGCCCAGAGCGGTGTTAGAGTGCTGTATTGATACCGAGGAGGTGATCGGTGTGAGAGCATCTATAGACTTGCCCGTGGTGAGAGGGTTGACAGAGATGGATTGAGCTTGAAGTGGAGATGGTCCGGTGATTATTGTCGGGTTTGCCTGTATGAAACATATTTATATTAATAGAAGCTTTATGCTTCATCATTACAACTCACTTTATAGTTGGGTAAGAATCTGTTCCAAGGAGAAGATATACGCCATACATATCCATGCTGGCCCCAATAGAACTTCACTTGTTTTCATCACGGTATGTTCCCCTTCAGTGTTGGTTATACGCAAGTTGGACATTTTTATTAGCTGTACATTTATCGAGTTCTTAGGTTTTCGCGATTGTTAGACATAGGAAATAAAACTGTTTAAATCTGTAACCACCTGAGTCAACCGTGACCATGTGACCATTTACAGGTAAAGGGCCCGAAACGTTGGTTTGAAAAAACAAATATACACGATTAAATCCGGAAAAATAGTTTCATTTCCTATGTAGAGCTCCTTGTGAAAGAGTTCGTCCAGGGAAGTACTGCACCCTTATTTCTGCCGCCAAGCAGTAATGTGTGCTGCATTCCGGTTTAGAAGGGTAAGGGTGTTGGTGAAATTATATGCTAATGGGACTTGCGAACTTGATGTCTCAGGGTAACCGGGCACAGTGGCAGTGCCCATGAGATCTTTGCGATTTAAAGCTCTGAGTGGCACTGCAACTGTTATGGATAGGTGTGTCGCTTACCACCAGGCGCACTACTTGTTCGTGCTGTCACTTGCTATTATAAAAATAATAATAAGAAAATCATAGGTACATGCCACCAATGGTACCCCCACTGGGCTACTTCCTGCATTATGCAGATTTCAACATAATGTCTTCCTTTGAGAGATATGTTTTAACTAGAGTTTCTTGCTCATTCTTCTCAGGGGAATCTGCCTTACGAGTAAGCGGTAGAGTTGAACGATTATGACGATTACAAGTGTAATTTGCTTAACTATAAAGAGTATTTTAAATTTTAATGAAAGATTTTACGATCTCCGTGAATTTCAGGATGGAAGTTTTCGTAAATTGTACTGCATGCTGGAATGCCATGCAGAGGTAGAGTTGAATCAATATGAAGATTACAAGTGTAATTTGCTTATCTATAAAATAAAGAGTATTTTAAACTTTAATGAAAGATTTTACGGTCTCCGTGAAATTCAGGATGGATGTTTTCGTAAATTGTGCTGCATGCTGGTTTGATTCCCGGGTCGGGAGAAAAATTTGTATGACCTATATGTATTTCTCAGTTTGGGTGTAATTATTGATTATCCATGTGTGTCTACGTATGGCACCCGCGGTACAGGGTTTCCCTAGTGCGGGGCTATGAGAGTGTGCGTTATTATTATTACATATAACTGTTTTTCAAAAACAAGGTTAGTATGTAAGATAAGTGTGTGCGTGTGGCGACACCCGTTATGATAGTAATGCCACTTGATAGCAATTCCATTTAGTTTGTTATTCCGTGTGTGAGGCAAGGTGTGTGACCATTCTCCTTACATTTTTATTCTATGCTTTGGTAATAAGTCAGTTATTTACTGCATTTTTTTACAGGGCACCATTAGAATTACTTTAAAATCCAACTTCGACGCCGAAGTCAGTAGTTTTGTCCCACGATGCAGTAAATCCATTTCCGAAAATCCGGAATTCGAAAAAAGTAAATAATTAGTATTTGGTGGTTTGAACAAGTCCAGGTCGCTCCTTGTAGACATGTTTCTATATAATATGTGAAACACCTTTTTCCGATCATTGGTAATGAATGACTTACAGAATTATTAGCGGAAGCGGACGGCCCAATAATAATGTTATGATGATGCGATCGTGCTGCAGTCGCGCCGACGGTGAGTGGCCGCAGCGGACGGCTGTTGGCCGACACGGGAGACACAGCCGTGAGGGTTACGGTTGCACTGGACTTGTTGCTGCTGCCACCTGTTATGCTGCCTGTTGATGTTTTGCCATTCACACCTACGAAAATGAATAACCCAGGTTTAATGTACTTGTATTAGGTATACTATAGTTTTGTGATTGTGAATGTAACCTAAAACCTAAAACCTAAAACTGCTTTCGCAGTTTGGTGTATTATTTTCTCTTGTATGCCTTGTTTGTATGAAATAAATAAATAGATAATAAACAAAACAACCAATTGAAAGGCATTGTGCTGGCTATCGAATAGCATCCCCTCCCCTCCCGTGCATCCGTCCGCGCATCTTTTGTCGCAACTTGACTGGGAGCAATTGAGTTGTATATTATATAATTTTATTTGTTACGTAATTACGTCACCACACTATAAACGCACACAGTAGGTATATTTATATTTTTTTAAAGTTTTTTAAGTTCATAAAGTGACCGGAAGATGTTAATTTACGTAAATTATGAACATTTTCTTAGTATGGACATTTCGTCATCAATGCGTATGAAAATTCCTTTTTTTTACTGTTTATTTTCTAAACATTCCAAAATATAGGTTGTCTCATGTTTATTTTGTAAATAACTAAAGTATTTAAATACGAAATATCTATAGAAACACAACTATAATATTATTTTTTGAGACAACAATTTGTAGTAAATAATTAATAGGAAAAATACTTTGTCGCAATGCACTAAAATTTCAAGAAATAATACGCGTATTGAAATATAATCAGTTCCAAGAAGTCCCGAGATTTATATAAGGGAATGTCCACATTCTTCTTTAGTTTGGCCCATATTGAAAATCTTACGGCTACAGTACGAAAATTAATGTATATTTTCAAAAATTTAAGACATGTTGCCAGTGGAAAATTGCTGAAAACTGTATATTTGTCTCTTTGTCAGTCGTTGTTTGTATACTGCTTAACGACTTGCAGAGGCACCCATAAAAACACCTTGCTAAATCTAGAAATACCTTTCTTTCCGTTTTCCCACAGCAGAATTCCTTGCTAAATGTAATGTACTTTCAATACGCCAGTTGTTTATACTACTAACCGTAACAAAAAAGCATTCACTAACAACCCTATATCCCCTCACTACAAAGCAGCAAAAGATGAGCAGACATTGTTTGTACCACTGAACGGTTTCGAACTGCACACTCCCATAGATTCTTTTGCTTTCTTGGTAGCTTTTTTGTATAATATAATAAATCGTTCACTATGTATACAGGCTGTATATCTGAAAGAGACACATATTCATACATGTCATAGTAAATCATGTTACAACTTAACATAGACTAAAAGAAAAATTAGGACATGGGATAGAACAAAAAAAAATCAACAAAATGTGTTTTGAAGTGAACATAAGAATAAACCGTTTCCCTTTACGCTTGGTTTCGAGTGCAATGGGAACGCTACCAAGCGAGGGCCGAGTGAGATAGCAACAATAACAATGATTTCACATTTACGTTTTGGCTTATGTTAATTATTTTTTACTTGAACTATCATTGAAATGTTTTACGTACTAAAAAAATAAGTTTATGATTTAGTAACTAGTTATCATTTAATAAGAATTGAGGTTTTTGTCGTAGTTAAAAATGTGAAATTAAATTATTTACAATGATTGATTTTTTACTTATTTGTAGTTTATTTACACTTACGTGGTACGGAGCAAGTGTTCAAAAAATCCACCGTTTTCCACAATGCATAGTCTAGCACGGCATAGTAAATTTTGTTTTAATTTGTACAACACAAACACATTTTGTCTCACATGTTGAGATAATCCTCACACGCAACACTTCGACACTGTTCACCTCCTCCGCGTAAACTCCGATTTGGGAACATTTCAATAGCTTGCCTCACACTATCACCACTTATTATGTGTCTTCGTTTGATCAAGGTCGGGCGTGCGCAGAGCAATTTCGCGTATGCACTCGCGCCCCCACCCCCGACCTGTGCTTTGTTACCCGCCACCGCTGCGTCGGAGCAATAATAGTGATGTGTATAGATTTCGATGATTGTTCTCAAGTAGTAGTCGATAAAAAAAATATTTTTTATAAAGTTTAAGTTCATTAGTTTATTATTTCTTTGGGTTCAGAATCAGAAATATAACGCACTCTATAAGTATGTCCCACTTTCAAATATACAGCCTGTATATCCTATGAATAAGTTTCAATGTAAGAAAACCAAACAAGACTGGTTAAAATGATTAAACTACAATGATACCGGAAATTTAATATCTGTTGTTACGTAATATTAATCAATAATAGTTAAGATGCTAACTAATACAATTAAGTATTCACGTTTCATTATAATTTATTGTTATTGAACAAAATATGTTGACTAACCATCATGCTATAAACACCGATTTGGATAGCTAAGATACAAGTAAGCAATTTTACTTAGTCTAGGTATCACATAGATTAAATTGCACTACTAACCTTAATTAAAGTTACGTAAGCATACAATAATATCACTGTTTGCGATAGTCTGGCGCATATATGTAAATAAAAGGTTATTTAATAAGATTATGTATGTAGGTTAAATTTTTATACAGAATATCTTTAGTTTAGCTAAATTAACTCTCTAAATCTGATCACTGATAATTATGTAATTGTATTATATTGTAGTAATATATATATAATATTACTTTCAAGTTTTTTATTTTATATTAAAAAATGCAATAACAAACATACCTGTACTTGCATGGTGAGCGTTATTTTGCTGTGAATTGATTTGTTGCGAAGATGACAATCGGGTCATGCTTTTGTGCAAGCCACCCACGGAACCACCTGCAATAAACACCATGGCGATATTGTTATTTGTCATTATGTAAAATAGTCTGCAAGTGAATAATCTTCACCTAGGTTATCCAGAACTTTTAATTGAAATAATTAGAACAGTTTTTATTAAACAAAAAGACCTGAAAAGTTTGTGGAATTACATCTATTTGACGAGTTTTGTCGAAATCGGTTAAGCGAAAATTGGTGAGAAGTTCAATGAACCAGATTCATCCTCTACTTTGCTACCCTGAAGAAGTGGAATATTTTCTCCAAATTTGAATGAGACCACCACCCCCTTTGACTGCGAGGCTTGGACTCTAAAAGCCGACACCCAGAGGCGCCTTGAGGCCTTCTAGATGTGGTGCTACCGTAGAATGCTACACATTAGCTGGACCCAGAAAGTTCCCTATGTGACAGTTCTTCAGCGCATTGGGAGTGACCAAGAACTCTTGGAGACCGTCAAGAAAAGGTAAGTTGTGCATCTGGATACGTTCTACCGACTTCTCCAACTGATAATAATGGGCAAGATCGAGGGTAAGCGATGTACTGGAAGAAGGAAGAAGTCGTGGTTGCCAAACATCAGGGAATCTGTTTCGCATGGCTCAAGACAAGGAAGAGTTTTCCAAGCTGACGGCCAGACTCGAGTAGTGGAGAGGCACTACATGATGATGACTACCCTCTTTCCAACCAAAAAAGAATAATCGAAAACGGTTCACTATTTTGCCAAGTGACGGAGCAAAGAAGTGGGCCTGTGCCACTCAGAGCTTTAAAACGCAAACATCGGAAGGACACTAGCACTTCGCCCGTCATCCTGAGACATAAGTTGACAAGTCCAATTTCACCAGTACCACTATCCTTCAAAATCGGACCGCAGTAATGGTCACATAACTGTTTGGTATCAGAACTAAGTAAAGTGGTAGTACTTCTTTGGACGAATTCTTTCACAAGGAGCTCCACTGCAAAAAAATAAATATCGGAGTAACCACGTAACATATACAAAAGAAATAGCCGACTAAAGAAACTCCTCCTTTTTTTTAAGTCGGTTAAAAACCCACTTACCGGCAACATTAAGTCTAGTCATACTCCGATGCGAGTTAGGCCCAGGATGCAATCGGCCTGTACTCCGAGAGTCGCCCAACTTGGCCCGTCTTGTGTACCCAGTTGGAGCCACTGGCGCCACAGGGGCAGAAGTGGGGGGGACTGGCGCCGGCGTTGGCACGGTGGACAAACCACCGAGTTTTACTATGGTTACTCCGCCTGATGTTCTATTTACTTCGCTTGATACTGTTGATTTTGGACGACTGTAAAAAAAAACGATGCCTCCAATGAGAACTACATCAACTTTATTTTTTGATTATTTTCTGTCATTTTTGTAAACAGAAATATTTATTTACTAAAATTATGGTCACCGAATTTTGTGAAAAAAAAAACAAAGTAAGAAAAACAAAATTCGAAAAAAGAAACAAAAAAAAACAATTTTGTGAACAAAAAATAAACATAAACAAAACAAAAACATCGTCGGTGTTTTGTAAAAAGGGTGTAGGGTCGAAAAATTTGTTAGGGGAGCATGTTTTAGGTTTTAACGGCTATTTTTAAAATATTCACATCCTGTGTTAAATTCAATTTTAAAACTTAAAATTAATTTAAACCAAAATTGAATTTTATAACAGGACGTCAATTGTGAAAACCTAAAACATCTCGACAAATTTTTCGAAATGTCTTTTACGCCCTTTCTACAAAATACCGACGATGTATCTATGCTTAAACGATATTAGCCGTTGTTATTGCATCGTATTATCGTTTTGATTTCTCTATTTGACCACTCACATTTTAGGCGCGCAATTATTGATATATATTTGACAAGTTTGCACTAACTTGTCAACCTTGAAAGTGTTTAAGAAACGTACCTGTGATTAGAGCGCACTACGGTAAGCATTTTGTCTGTGAAGAGTACAGGGAAGGCACTGCACAGGGCGGTAGCTTCGCGCATCAGCGCAGCGTGATACGCGCGGTCGACTGTTGACAAGCTCTCCAGAACGAAGTTGAGGGCTTCTTGGGCGCGTTCCTACAAGCACACAAACCATATCACGTTTAGTACATTGTTTTAGAGGCCGGAAGGTGAGGGATTATCGTACCAATATGAGTTCTGCCGTCCATTAACTAAAATGCAGCTAAGTGACAAATGGTCAAATAACCGTTTTAAATAGCAAAAAATAGAGCACAAAATTCTCTTTTAAAAACTGTTAAAATTAGTTAACGTGTTCAACTTATCGGTACTTACCCCGACGATACATAGCTGAAATATCATTAACAATTTCAATGTTCTAAAACTGGGTTATGGTTTTTTATGATGTCTCAAACAAATATTTTGTCACTTAGCCGTTTGCCGTAGAGTTCGAAGGCAAGGCCAGACAACCCACGACAGTTTTTCTCAACATATTGACAAAAACAAGTTTCTAAGAAGGAGGATACCAAGTACATTGTGCTTAGGTAACTTTAAATGAAAAATTAACGACTTAGCTGTGTGGTATTTTTCTTTAGTCAATTTGATGATGTATATAATGGTTAGATATCCAAAAATTTAAAGTAGCTGTAATATAAATAAGTTCAGAAAAAACAAAATTATATTCACATAGCTTTCCCGGACTGACGGGGAGTGATTTGTTTTTAATGTAGTGTGATAAAAAAACAGGCTCTTTGCGTGTCCTTAGTTCAAAATAACAGCAAATACTTTCGAGTATGTTTGAAAAAAAAATCCGACTTCATTTCCGTTGCTAAACTGGAACGGTGTGTCAGGGTCACTACACATACATTTTTGCCTATAATGTGTGTTATTAAACAGGCATACTAACAAGCCATCAGCCAGATTTAAGGCCATTCCCATTAGAAAGAAAGAAAGAACCATTTATCCAGCTTATTAAGATTTGTACAGAAGAAATTAATTATTAAAAATTATAAGCTGAAACAGATCCAACTCAAGTCGATTGATATGTCACAGCTCGACTGCAGTAACGCCGGTTCTCAATTGGAGCTACTTATAGGATCAGATGGCACGAAAGTACTGATGTCGGTTAAGACTAAAATTATAACTTATAAAATATAAGTAGGCAAATTACTAATTTACTAGGAATTATGAATTGAATGTATGAAATAATGCAGCTTGTTAGACATTTATGCAGAAGACATGATATTCAACTATTTTTTGTGAAATTACTCCACTAGTTTGTTATAATTATTATAACAAAGATCAAAACAGTAATATAACAAAAGATTTCGATCCGGCTGAATTCGAACCTGCATCCTCAGGCAATCCGTGTCAGATACCAAAAAACAATGATGTGCAACAAACACGTAGAAAAATTCATAAGGTCTGCTGGTTCATTCCGTGGCTTAGTTGGCCGAGCAGCTGGCATGGATTGCCTGAGGGTGCTGGTTCTAATCCAGCCGGATCGAACGAATTTTTCTTAGTGTTTCGATCTTTGTTATAACAATAGTACCAGAGATAAGTAACTAGAAACTTAGACCCTGAAACAGTATGGATAAGTCTTAGAACAGGTGCCTTACCCTGCCGGTGTAGCCGAGTTGCGTTAAGAATGCGGCGACGAGCGCGACGGCCTGCGGCGAGGCGTGCGGCCCCCGCGCCGCCCGCTTCACTGCGGCGCCATGTTCCATTACCAGCGTAACGCGCGTGCGCGACAGGCATATGATTAGCTGCAGCACACATTATTAACTTTATTTAATATCATAATGTTTTTACCACCATGAAATATTTTTGTGAAAACACTCCACTATAGTCAGTCCTTTTCGACGACGGGGAAAAATGACGTTTGTAAGTTGCCAGTTTTCATAAAATTTTAAAAAGTTATGTAGTTGTTGTCGATAGTTTTATCGATAGATTGTGAAAGAAGATAAAATATTGCCAAAAATGACTGAATTGTGAATGTTACGACGTTCTAATGATTACTAATAGCGTTATTGCCTTCTTTATTCTTATTTTGACTAGTGGCCTACTAGTATCTAGTTAAATTTTTTTTCATATACATTTTAACAAGAATAGAAAATCTTCAAAATATGTCTCCTCTTTCAATTTTTCATAAACATAGTTCTAAATACAGTGTATGCTTGTATGAACTTACAAAAACTGACAATTCAATGCTCAGTAATCGGATGAATAATGAAACAAGTTCGGCTATTTATGCTTATGGCGTGAATATTCAGTCGATAGTCGATAGAATATTTATCGACTGAAATCACTAGTTGCTAGCAAACGGGCAAGACTTTTACGCAATGAACTGTCATTTTACTCCGTCTTCAAAAAAACAAGACTATAGTTTGTTATTATTATTATTGATGTAAAGATCGAGCAAAGATAAAAGAAAAATTCCTTCGTTCCGATTGGATCGAACCAGCGTCTGTTGTAAGCAACACGCCTGGCCATAACAGTTGCAGTGCCACAGAGTTAAAAATAGCAAAGATCTGAGGGGCACAGCCACTGCGCCTGTCAGCCTGAGACATAACTTGACAAGTCCCATGTGCCTCTAATTTGGCCAACACCATCCCTTCCATTCCGGAACGCAGTAATGCTTACATTACTACTAGGCGGCAGAAATAGGTAAGGTGGCAGTACTTCCCTGAGCGAACTCTTCCGCAAGGAACTGTACAGCTACTAAATAATCTCACCTGAAGAATATCCAAGCACATACACCCCGGATCAGTCTGGCTAGTTGTGTTCGGGCACAAATAAGATAGCAATTGCGGTACACAGGTTTTTAACGCTTCAGGCCTTCGAACGGCGATCTGTTCGAATAAAGCGAACAGTGAATTCTTTTCTCCTTGTTCTGCATGTGGTAGGAGTGATACTAGCGCGGTCGTGTGCCCTTCTAACGGTTCGGGACATACTTCGTATAGATTCGTTAATATGCGGCAAAGAGGATAGTTGCCTGAAAAAGAGATATTTAATTTTAGATTGTCGCAAGCGTCATCAAGCGAAACAATAACCATTGTTATGCTCAGGTCACACAGAGGCGGACGCGGAAGCGTTCCGGGCGCGGGAATTTTTGTAATATGCGGTCGACGCGCGGCCGCCGCGCGTTTCAGTGTGACAGGGTTCATATAAACTCGTACATTACAAAAATTCCCGCGCCCGGAACGCTTCCGCTAAATTTTATAGTAATAAGACAAATAAAGGCCTGCAATGCACTATTGGAATTTCCACATGCATGTTTTTAATGCACGTTTTAACTTCTTACAAATATAGATTGCAATTATGTTGTTTTTCTACCATAGTTTGTTATAATTATTAATAACAAAGATCGAACATAATCGAAAGGAATTTTTCAGTGCTTGATCTTTATTAATAATAATTAAACTTTCAAGGAGAAAGGGAGTGAAGATCAACCTACAAGGTTTAAAAAACAAGTGCAAAATATTAATTTTATAAATGTTTTCGTTCATATCTTATTCATTGCTATATCTATAAAAAATAAAATAAAATAACGTCGACTCTCATAGCCCCGCAATAGGGTAACCCTATGTCGCGGGTGTCATGGACACACACATAGACAACCACTAATTACACCCAAACTCACGACAGAAATAAATGCAGGCCATATAAATATGTCTTCCAGCCCGAGAATCGAACCCAGGACCTCTGCGTGGCAGACCAGCATGGTAACCGTTCGGCCGCATATGCAGTTAAAATAATAAAATAAAATAAGGGACGCAAATACGTTTACGTTATTTACTTAAAAGAGCTAGTTTTTTTATGTAAATTGAATGTTTTACTACCATCATATTCAATTGTTTTTTTTTGTGAAATTCTCCACTAGTTTGTTATAATTATTAATAACCAAGATCGAATACTTAGAAAAATTCATTCGATCCTGCTGGATTCGCACCAAACTAACGCTGGTTTTATCGCATAGTAAAGTATGAATAGATGGATCGATATAGCAAGAAATTTTAACCCAACTACATCCGTAACTAGTTGTCGATAAAATTGGCTTTTATTTCTTTTTCTTACCCGTACTATCGTATTTTTGATATATCAAGAATTGTTTTCATGGATTCAAAGGATTCAAAGTTATGCTCTGGCCACAAAGAGGCGCCCGCGGAAGCGTTCCGGACGCGGGAATTTTTGTAATGTACGAGTTTATATGAAACCTGCCACACTGAAACGCGCGGCTAACGTTAAATTTCTATCCTAAGGTTGCCTGGAGGAAATTGCTACTTAGCAATAAGGCCGCCTGTTGTACATTGGCTTACTCTGTGATACCTACAAAATTGTTCTGAGTTGTCATTATAATTTTTATGTGCAATAAAGAATATTTCATTCATTAATTCATTCAAAATAAGACGAAACTACAAATATATTATGAACTAAATTTTCTCCATAGTATTTACAATGAACTTGTATAGTGGAATGAAAATTATTGGATAGTAAGACCTGATTCCGGCGACTTCACTGATTTGGTTTCAGAGAGAACTGTAACTTAAGTCTTTCAAAAGATGAGAGTGTTGATTGACGAAGCTAGAGCAGCTCCTTCTTCAATGAAATGGGGAAATCATGAGTTATTGAGAACATTTATTCTATTATTATGAGTATCAACGAAGCAATGGTCTCCACAAGTTGCCAATGCGGGAAAGAGAGAGAAACCGATGACCAACCCGTGTTGGTCATACATCCGTATATTTCTGGATATTTATAACTATGGCAATGATATCTGTTCAGAAACATATTTAAAAAAATCTACAATATCTTTTGCTTTCGAAGACTTTTATTATTTTTATCCAATTAGATTATTTTAATCTAAAAAATTTTTACATTTCCTTCATTATCAACTTAAGTAGTGGAACATGTTTTTATCTTAGATTGTATAATAAAACTCATATCGCACTTCTATGAAAACAGTGTCGTAACTCAAAATATGTGAAATTCATGATTATACTGTAGCCGAATATAGAATTTGATTCTTTGAAGAAGTCAATAAAACCGTCGTTACAATCGTGACAATAGTCAGAAACAATTAAAAGGTATCAACTTAATTCAAAATGAGACAAACTTTTTGTGAACTAATTCTGGAGAAAAAACTCTTTACTCAAAAATACGAAATTTTTAAATATATTTGGCAAGCAGGAAATTGTTTAGATCTCTGTAATAAACTTTTGACTATCCATAAATTTTAACAATCACGGCCAGTGAGTAATTAGTTTTTCATCAATTCTGAAAATATACACTTTTTGAGTTAATACACTATTGTATTAACAGTGCGATATATTGTTTAATACCCTTACCAGTCATAATAGAGTCCATAATAGTTTGCACATGTGGCTTCAACAACACTGCATGATGAATGGCTGCCAGAGACAAGTATCGTGCCATGTGCCTTGATATCTCACGGTTGCCCTTGTGCAAAAACTGAACGGCAACTGGCAGAAATAGCTCCATTACGGATTTGTTGCCATAGTTCTCTTTATCTGCTTGCACTGGGAAGGATACCTGAAAAAAATAAAACAAAACCTTCAACACCATGTCACACCGTCAAATCTTTGTCACGAAATCATTTTAACAGAGTTAGGCTAGGTTTCATGCAGGGTCAAGTTTCCAAAAAATAATTGCAAACCACTATAGCATCAATGCGAATCTTATGTATTTGGTTTTGAAGGGTAATGATACTGGTGAAATTACAGGTACATGGGACTTGTCAACTCTCAGGGTGACGGGCGCAGTGGCAGTGCACCTCAGATCTTTGCGATTTAAAGCTCTGAGTGGTATTGCAACTGTTATGGACAGGCGTGTAGCTTACCATCAGGCGCACGGATTGTTCGTCCCGTCACTTTATATTATAAAAAAAAGTCTTACCAGCACTATGCAAGCAATGATGTCCGAAGCAATCTTTGCATGTGGAGGATCATCGTCCCTCAAATGCCCCAATGGCATCAGGTTATGATGCAAGCAGGACTCCAGCAACGCCACAAGTGCCCCACAGTACTTGTCCAGGGTAGCCGTCTCCTTGATACATGATGTGACTCGGGTGACACATATTTCTATTAGAGCTTGGTCTCTATCATTTCGTACATAGTCCGGTCGAGATGATATCTCAGTTATTTGTTTGAGCTGGAATTTTTTATAAAACAATATAGCGTTACTTGAGAAAGTGTAATCCAAAACAAACTTTCTAACCAGATGATTTACTACAAACAGTATGTTTGAAAGTATTTTTTCCTTTTGTGCAACTGTCTCGTCAAGGCCTAATTCAGATAGGTTTTCATAATACCAACGGAAGGGGAATATTCTTGTGAACATCATCATTTATTTAAATGAAGAAAGCCTCTTATTATACTAACTGCAAGGGAACATTAGCAATAAGTGGTTAATAAGGAAAAATGCTGTGTTGAACTGTATTTTATTGAGTTCCTTCCCTATTGTACATAACTTTTTAAATTTTTTACCACTTTGATACTATTTTATTACTCATAATGCTATTGCACTAGAAACCAGTAGGTACACAAATATTATGTACATAAAAGTCATAAAGAAAGAATAACAATTCACCCTTAAGCCATAGTATATTAACACAAGTATGGTGCGCACCTGTCGCGGGCCATGTCCGGACGTACACATTCGCATAATTTCGTGATGCACTCGCACTGCATAACACTCGTCATCCCAACGCGCCTTTCATTATTATGAGAATGTGTGCGTTCGTACACGGCGCGCGGGGCGGTCGCGCACACATACAAGCCGCGCCATGACTTTGTACGGCGTTACCCTACTTCTCTTATTTTACTATGTTTAAGCTTTGAGCGATTTAAAATATTTTTATATCTTATAATTATTAATACAAAGATCGAACACTCAGAAAAAACACTCAGAAAAAATTCCTTCGATCCGGTCGGATTCGAACCGCATACCGTGCCAGACGCTAACCAACTAAGCCACGGAACGAACCAACGGACCTCACGAATTCTTCTATGTGCTTGCGTCGTGTCTTTGTACTTGGATTTTCAATGAGTTTTTAGTCGTAGCGCCATCTATGAGAAATCTATGAAAGATTTATCACCCAGTTAGTACTTTTACAGCTACCAGTCCTGGCGCGAGATGTCGCTATTCCCTGTACTAATTAAATTTTTATTGAATTGATATTCAATTTTATTTTTTTGTGAAATTACTCCACTAGTTTGTTATTACTCCACTATTTTTATATCTTTCTTTGTATAAAACAATCATATCAATACTTCAAGAAAGAAAGGGTGTAAAAGTCAATTTTATCAAGCTCTTCCCATCTGTTTAGTTGAAGAAATACTTTTTTGTCATAAAAATAAATTCAACATTTGTAAAGGTATGACATATATCTCACTCGTCATGCAAACTTTTTAGTTTAGTACCTTAGTAGTTTGATTTTTAGACCTATTATTCTCTGAAGTATCAATATTTTATTAAATTTCTCACAAGCAAGAATAGGCCCAAATAAGGTGAAATGAGATAAAAATAAATCATTTACAGTAAACAAGATAACTCTATCAATATTACTATCCTATATCTACATCTAAGCGTTTGCCAATAGCCCCCTATCTTATTCAACTCACAACTCAATATGTATAAGATAATAAGAGAAATATCATACATATTTAACATAAGAAAGTTTTTCTAATAATGACACTATATATTACTTATGCTACAAAGTAAAAGGTTAGGTTATTCAGTTATATTTGGATGCTATTTTTGAGTATAAAAGAATTAATAATTAAATATATTTTACATATGAAAATAGCATCCAAATTTAAAATAGTTATCTACTTTAGTATCATTTATGGTAATGTTGTACAAAAAAAACTAAATGTGAGTTACTGAGCTTATAGACTTATATGTAATAGGGAATAGGACACATTAGGCATACAAAGGTGGGTGAAGGAACATGTGGATAAGTAAAGAAATGAAACTATTCTTTTGGATCTGAATCACATAATATTTGTTTTTCAAACAAAGTAATGTTTCTGGCCCTCAACAGGTTCCATGGTCATGGCTGACTATATAAGAACATTTTTTTTTTTTAATTTAAATGGCAGTAAAATACTTTGCACCAAGGTCTAAGTAAAAAGATACATTTGCTTAGGTTAAAAACCAAAAGAATAAGGAAATGTGATTAAGATAGAAGCTGAATTGACTTAACATAGTCAATTCAAGTTTTGTGTGGATATAGCTCTATCATTTTATATGACGATTCCACCACCATTTGAGTTGGAAGACTCAGTGCGATGACGGGACAAATTACTGATTATTGAAAAAATTTAGCGGTTATTAAGTAAGCTATAGAGATTAGCAGTTGTTATAAGGTTTTTGCGTTGATGAGCCGATAATGTTTTTGTTTAGTATCTAGTTAGAATAAAATATTGTGGATTGTATATAGTCAGAGTAAAATTGGTTGACTGTAAAAAATAAAAGAAAGTTATGCAACAAATTAAATATAATATGTTGAATGTAGCTTTCTAATAATATAAAATATATTATAATCTCAATACCTCTAATGAATGCTATGCCAAATTAATTTTTGTACCTGTTGTATTTTTATTTTGTTTTTTTCACAAAATTCGGGGAGCACAATGTTAGTAAACAAATATGGCTGTTTACAAATTTAATAGAAAATGATCAAAAAATAAATATCAATTTGTTGTAGACACTAGAGGGTAGTATCATTGTTTTTTATGTGGTCTAATAATAAAATGCTTTAGTTTATTGTTTGTTCAAAATTGTTTTTTTCACGTCAGGTATGATCTCCACAACAGCTGTCTGTGGAAGAAGTTCTACCAAAAATAATACCTAATACCTATGCTTAATCAATATTAACTGACAACATACAATGAAATTGACATAGACGGCTTAGGTCTATAATAATAATAATTATAAATAAGTGATTTATTCAAAGTCTGTGAAAACCCTTCCTCACTGCAACCAGCAATTGATCTATCTAGGGTACTAGGAATGTACCTAGTTACTTAAAAAAATTACCAAAAATTCTAAAACATTCTATAATAAATAATAAGTTATATTTAAAAGCAGTTGTCTAAACAACAATAAGGCACCAGGAGAACATGAAATCCTACAAGTGTATAACTAGCTCCTCAATACAAGGAAGTACAAAGTCTGTAACTACTGGGACGACAGGAAAGGGTCAGTCAGTTTGTACTCACCACTTCATTCAGGTCATTGACGATGTCCGCGTCAGGCACCGCGAACAGGTCGCCGGCGCGGGTCAGGTCCCGCTCCGTGAGCACATGCTTGAGCAGCTCGTGCATCGTGCAGCCTCTGACAACATTCACCACCGAACACCCTCGCGAAATACCAACACATCAACACGACATTACGCTACTATTTACACATCGTATACATCATTTTATACCGCAATAACCACTAATTACATACCCGACGTGTTCGCTAAACCATTTTTTGTCATAAGCAACGGTAAGAAATATTTCTAGTACAGGAAAAATAAAATAAATTGAGCGAAGAGATCTCCCCAAAAATCATGCAAAGTTTCGTTCGGAAATTGAGAATGGGAAAGAAGACGGAATGTCAATGAACTCCAAAACATTTTCGCCAAAACTTGTTTTTTTCGGCGGGAAACTTGAAACGTGGTTAAATATAAAACTACTAAAATAAAATTACTTATTTATTATAATAATTGGTGTAAATAGCATTTCACCTTGCAACTGTTATTTAATGTTCTCTCTGTATTTATTGATTTCTGCGGAAATCCTCCAGTTAATCCTGAACTGCATTCGGTAATGCTGTCATGGGTTCCATGCCGTGCCTACTACAGTAAGCTTAGCATTTAAGTAAAATCGGTACATACAAAGTCATTATTACTACGAATCCACCAGCAATTGGAGATTTTGATTCATTATTTTCAAACTCCCTCAAATTCATATAATGGTCATCCATTTCTTGCTTTTTAGAAAATGTATATAAATATATAAACTTATGTTCGTTAATTTAACCATAGGTTTCCAAACTTTTTGGCTCAACACCCACTTAGGCAAGATAAAAAAATTTCAACACCCACAACCATAAAAAATAATTGAAACACGTATTTTTTAAATCAAATGAACACAAACAAATCACAAATAGAAAAAAAATATATATGTAGAGCGGTTTCAGGTATTGTTTCAAATGTGGTAGCACTTGGACAGCATTAACCTGGAGGCTCCGATTGCTTCCGAGGCCTCTAGACCCCGGCCCCCAGTGAGCGGTTAAGAGAGTAGACATGGCTAGCAGTAGTAGTCGGCAGTCGTTGTTCACAGTGAAATGACGTATTTCATTGCGCGTGACAATGTAGTCTTACAAGTGAGAGGGGAGTATTACAAGTGATTCGTGTTTTGGAAAGTGAGTGGAGTCTTCACGAAGCTCGAAAACTATTAGATGGAGAGCATTCCCCGTCTAAGCCTTGAGTTGGCTTGATCCAAGATTTCCTCAACAAAGCGCAATTTTAGCAGTAAACCAACGCCTTCTCAACAAGGCCGGCTTACGTTATTAAAATAGAAGATGAAAGATCGATGGATTGGCCGCAGCGGACCAGTACCGTGGCCTCTCAGCTCACACGAAGACATTTTATTTTTTGACTGAATGAAGTTCAACGCCATATGTGTGTCAACAAAGCTCAAAGCAGTGACGACCTACAATCAAACATTAGTGACGTTTTAAAAATGACCTTATAGTGCTTCGAAAATTAATTACAAATATTTATTACAAATAAATGTAGGGTCAGCAACAACCACAGCAATTACCCTATGCTACCGAGGGGAATCGAATCCGGGACCTCCTGAACTACGCCCACAGAGCTAATCGTTCAGCCACCGAGGTTAATAAACTCACGCGCTGAGTCCAACCATTATTGTTG